CAAGTCCCAGTACGTATCACCTAAATTTATGATGATCTTAGCTTGCATTCTCTTGAAGCACATTTCTTTGCCTTGTGGTTGCCAAGAAATAGTTGGAAACACTGCTGAAGTGTCTACATAAGAGTTCTTTTCCTTTCTTTTAAAGTGAATTAGCCAAAAAAAAGGGGAAAAAAACCCCAAAACCAAAACCAAAAAACTAAAATACAGCATAATTACCTTTTACATTTAATAAAATCTTGTGATTTTAGAGAGGCTGATTCATGATATTTGAATGCAAGGAGCTGATAATATTGCTAGATGAAGTGTTAAATCCCTTCAAGATCTTCCCTGCTCATAAGCTTTATTTCACAAAGAACAGTGAGTAGACATTATACTTATAACCAAAAAGTTAAGATCATGAAAAGGTGTCATTAGATGCTCAAAGTAGTGTGTCCTCTCCCTGAAAGTGAATATGTTAATAGCCACTCATATGTTGCCTTCCAGGATCCAGGAAAAAAATACACCTGAGCATCTCTCTCAAGCTGAAACTATGATACTGGAATGTCTTCCATTACCTTGTGCTGCAACATATTAATGGAAAGAGTGATAGCATTTAAACTGTGTTTTTCAAATGACAAAGCCCATGCCCACCTCTTTGGATATTGTTTCCTTGTTCTAAAAATCCAAAGGAAAGGCAGAAATATTTTCAACTAAATATTGGACCCTGTACTTGTCTTATCACTTACACTTCTCCCTCTTTCCACCAAGCACAAAAATTCTTTTATATTTGTGGTTTATGTATGGTCTTGTGGTATTTTCTCTTGCTGTTTGACTAGTTCTACCTTTATGTGGTATCTCATGCCTCTGGGGCAGAGTGCAGTGGAGGAGGATGTTTAAAATTAGGTGCAAAATTATAAAATGCTGATAAATATTTAAGTAATATGTATTTTAAATCACTCAAAATCAAGAAATTACGTTGCCAAATCACAAGCCAGCAGAGCTGTTTCATGCTACCAGAGCCCTGTTGGAAGAAAATACACTGGATTTGGATTTTCTGTCAAAATCTTAATTGTTTCTAGATCCGACTGCCCTATAAACAGAACATAAAGTAACCATTTTAATGGTAAGGTAAAATAAATATAATTAGATGCTATTGGGACATTTTCAGCTAAGTCTATTTTGTGGATGCAAGAGGCTTATCATGAGACACAGAGAAGTTGGGATGTGTAGGATATTACCTATGTTGAACAAAGAAGGGGCTTCCTGCTGTGGAAGACGTACAGTACCCTCATCTAATAAACTGAAGAATACTTCTTGTAAATAAGCTCTAGTTAACATAAATGAGTGAAAACGATGAAAATCGCAAATATATTTCAATTTATATTAATAAGAATTTAAACAGTTTAGAAGGTGGGTCACCGGTAAATCTTAAATGCCATGGAAACAGCATAAGCTTTAGTAGCAACGATGAGATCATAGACAAGGTATTTAAAAACAGTATTGAATGATTCTATGAATTTCTTGACTGCTGTGCTTAATATTTTTAATCTGAAATTACTAATAAAAATATATGTTGCCCTGGCAGATTTCAGGCACAGGCTCCTAACACGGGGGGATAAAGCAAATGTCCTACTATCTGCTGCAAAGGCAAAGCTGTACCATATTTTTTTGTAGGTATTTAAGGCCAAGAGGGACCATTACAGCCATATAGTTTGACCTTCTACATCACACAGACCAGAGAATTTAACTCAGTGATTGCTGCCCTTGGGCTAAATTTCAAAAGTAGAGAGAGATTTATTCCTTTCTTTTTTTTCTTTTGATCCCTCATTGTGCTCAACTCAATCTGACTCTTTGTTAAAATTAAGACTGTAATTTTAATTTATGTTTTGTTTTCAGAATGCATACATACATGTATATATATAAAAATACACAGGTGTGTGTGCGGACACACATTTAAAATGCTTTTCATTTGTCATAATAGTTGGCACCACCATAGAGATGACCTCATATTTAAAAGGGTATATAGACTGACAGGAAAATTGGGAAAGGATGGCAGAAGGTAGCATGACCTTCACATGCAACTCATCATGGGCCTCTGTGGTGAAGTGTTTATACTTGATATTAAGTCAGCACAGGGAGGGATTAGAGGCCTGCAGAGAGAAACAACTTGCCTCACCCTGAAGAAATTGCCAAAAATGTAATGCAGGACAGAGACTTCTCGGTTGGGGCTCATTTTATAAAGGCAGAAACAGGCCAGGCGCTCAGCCGTTTGCAGGGCTGTTGAAAACTCCTTCCCTGTGCCTACTGTGGGAAAAGGCTGGGTAGAAACATGCATGCTGAGGAACAAGTGTGGAGCCGCCTGCTTTGCTACTCACTGCATCTGTGCTGGATTGAAGCTGCAATGCTTTTATCTTTTGCTTTAAAAAGTTATTAGTGAAAATTCCAGTGAGATTATTTTATTTTACCTTCTGTGGGCTAAAAATAATTTTTTAAAAAGTCTGAAATCACTTTACGTGCTCTAAGGAGTGTGCTAAACATGATGGGATACTGTGCAAGCTTTCAGCCATTTTGTGTTTACTGCCAGTGAAGACCCTTGGCCACCCTCAGAGAAACAATTTCTGTTAAGTGGTCCATTAAGTGCTGTAGTCTGATTAATGAGGCAGACTTATTTATTGCCACTGGAACTTGACCTGGAAGCTTATTTTAAAGGAAAACTGCAGTGGAAAGTTATCACGCTTTGGATAGGTACATACTTAAGAAATAAGACTACATAAAAATGAATTTTTATTAGTATAGCTACCCTCTCTTTCACAATTCCCATAATAACTGTGACCAGTCTGAATGACCTCCCAGTGGGCCTTTTTATTGATACTTCCCAGCAGGAGTTTCAGTCTGATAAGTAGGTCAGGATTCAGTTGGTCTGGTTCCCATTTGAATGCATGACGAAACAGGAGGATTTCAGCTTTACTGTCAAAAAGGTTCTTCTCTTTCATGTTCAGGTTATCTAGTATTTAGAGGGCAGGTGCAGGGGTAAAAAAAAAAACTCACAGTGGGGAGAAGAATATTAAGGAAAAGAAAGTATCAAAATTTAATCCTCTTAGTGATAGCATGACTAATAACTCCCTAATCTGTACTCTGCCATTTCCTATCTACCACAGAGTTGCCCTGCTGCAGATAGTTCTTAATGTCCCAAAATATTTTGTATCCACCTCTGATTTATGAAGTGATCTTCCACTTTATCGGCATAGCACTATCTTTTTGGAGTGGAAGAGAGGGTGTGTTGATACATTCTGCCCTCCTCCACAAAAATGCAGAAGGTCCAGGGGGCAAAACTGAACTTGCTCTGACAATTCCTGCTTCTCCCTTTTCTCCACGTGCCTTGTCCTGGGAAGGGAGCTCATGCAAATTTCCCAGTGCCCCTCTGGCACTGGGAAAGGAAATTTAATCTAATTTACTAATTCACCCATAGGCTTATGATGAATAGAAAATGAAGAGGTGTGTCATCCTGTCCAGTGAAGTTGGGGGTGATGAGCTGAAACCAACAAATATATTACAGAAAAGATATCAAGCTGGACTAAAACCAAATTCTCATTGGTGAATTATTAGTCCACTGTTCATTATGATGTCTAGTTTCAATCCTAATGAGGTGGAACCTGATGAGATAATTACTTTGAACTATAGGATTCTGTTTGCCCACAACAAAAGCTTATAGTATGGTATCATCTCATCAAGCCCTTCCCTTTTTCTCAAAAGTTATTAGTTTTCTTTTAAATGGGATGTTTGTCTTTGCTCATTTAATGAAAATGGCACATTGACTGAGGATATCTGGTACCTATCAGGATTTATCTAAAGGTAACTACCATCTGCAGATGGTTCCTATTCAGTCTGATAGAGAAAAATCTCAAAAAAAGGAATGTTGAAGCGATATTTACAGGCAAATCTGGTACAAAGTTGGTGCCACGTGTATTGTCTGGTACAAAAGGGATGAAGTGAACTTGTGTTATTGAAACATTTTTTGAGTCACATGTTTCACAGAGCATATATTACATAATTTGCACAAAGTGGGTTGCTAACTGGCAACATCATTGGGGCGAACACACCTGAAGTCTCTCTTGCATCTTGCCTTTTCTGACCATTTGTTTCAGTCTAGAATATAGGAGCATTTGTGAATATACAAATGAAAGAGTTTCTGAATTTTATTGCTTTGACCTGTGGTGGGAGGATGTGTATATTTCACTGAGCAGTTGCTCACAGTTTTAGGTGTTTTTAAATCCTCTTTCCACAAAAGTGAGCCTTGTCACTTTGTTCAGGAACCTAGAATTGCTGGATTTACCATCATTTGGTAAGGAAAGGGTATGAAGGAAGCTGTCTTCAGACCAACAATAGCAGAAGTATTTTTCTGTGGGTTCCAGTCTGAAGGATGCAGCAATATGTTATGGATAGAGCACGGGACAAGCAGCCTGGTACCTGCTTATCTTCTTTTCCACAAATATCACAGACTTTGATGAGGCACTAATTTTTCTGTGGCAAAAGCTTCTTTGTTAAAAATCAGATTAATACAATACAAATCTTGGGGATGACAAAGGGCCAAATGTATTCCTATTTTCTAAGAATCTAAGACTGAAGGAGCTCCAGAAGAGCTGTGTTTATAGCAATCAAGTGAGATTCATTGAGGAAATGGGAGGGTATGTTGAAACGTTGTAGAACTAAGGAAAAATGAGGAAAAGAAGCAAAATGGATTAGTAGTTAGGATGGAAACAAAATTTAGCAAATGAAGAAAGACATTATCAAAATCTAAAATACAATTTTACATACTTTAAAATGTGGAGGCAAAAGTGAAGGCATGTATTTCTTCCACTCGTTGATATCTCGCACCAGTAATGGCATTAGTACAGAACAGTGGCTTCTTTGTATTTTGAGGTCCTTGATTTTCTCTACAGAGACACAGACAGGACTAACTCCACAATGAGACCATAGGAACCGCCATTCTCGATAAAACCGGCTTGCTATCTCGTTTCCACATAAATTCTTGGCCTTTTAGCCAAGATCTAGTGTAGTATCCATTCTTGTCAATTTAATGCCAGACATATCTCTAGTTTGAGGTCTTGATATTACATGGGTATAATATCCAAGGTAAACTTGGGACTTGCTCTGTGCCTTGACATAGCAATGCAGTGCCCCTGAAGGATCAGGGTGATGGGAGGAGTGAGTACTAGTGAATACAGAGACAAAACTGTGAAAGCAAGGCGAGTGTGCAGCAATATTTCTCAACAGTATTTTCCCAGGCTCCAGTGACTCATGGTTCAAGGACTTTCTGGACCAAAGCTAGTCTTTGTGTAACCTCTTTTCCAGGACTTTTCCAGATTTTTCCAAGCCAGGTAAATTTTGACATATTGCAGCAAGGAGATCGCGGTAACCCTCTCAACACACTGTAGAAAGAAGCATCCCTTTCTCTTGGCACTGAACCTCCTACCTGCCTTTTCCATCGGTGCTCCTCTAGTTCTTTTTCTTTCAGAGACATTGAATAACCCTTCTCTCATTCACCTTCTTTGTGAGCAACTCAAGGTCTGTGTTGTAGCTCTTTAAAAACCTATAAATTATGGTTGAAATACGAATACAATTAATTTTGTTTAATGGCAGGCTGTGTAAGAAAAAAGCTAGCAGGAAGTTAAAGCAATGATACATCCTTCAACAGACATTTCAGTGCGATTAAGAGACAATACAGGACTGCAATGAAGTTAAACAGCTTGTTTTGTTTTTACTGGAAAGCAGAAGGACTATAAAGAATTTTAAATGTTCTTCAGATCAGGGCAAAGGAGTTGCTAAGAAGCTATTTCCGCATGTAAAAACCTTACCGAAAGGTCTGAGGAGCTTGAAGCTCCTAAACTCTTTTCACAGGGAATAGGTAGGAGAGTTGTGTAGAGAGACCATTTATAGCTCTAAAATTCCTTTTCTTTGAAGTTTGTTCTGTTCTGACAATTTAGACAGACAATGCTATGGTACTTGCTCTTTGTTAGAAGAACAGAGGGAAGAAACAGAAGTGCTGAACCTGGTCAGACCCCCATGGAGAAGCCCTGTTGGCATCTGGGGCATTGTAACCATGCCAGAGCCTAAGCAGAGAAGAACTTGAAAGTTCCCAGGAGAACTGGTGAAGATTCAGGTTTTGTCAGTTGAGGAGATGCAATGAGGACACTATGGAAGGCATGGGTGTTTGGGAAGCCCTCCAGGCATTGTTTTCGTTTTCATATATTTTTAATGGTTTCAGGTTTTTGCCTCCAGGATAAGATAGGTTTAGGGAACTCGTAGAAGCATGCAGCATCTTTCAGAAACCCCAGCCTACATTTCTTTAGAATTTAATGCCTTTGCTGGCATTGACATTTTTTTATTAAATTATATATTGGGGTTTTTTATTTGTCTGCATACTTTGGCACTGGCTGTTTTGAATAAACTTATGCTTCCATAATCCCGACTTTTTGTGCAGAAATGCTATTTTCTGTTTTAGCCAGTGTTAAGGCAAGACATGCTGACTAGCTGCAGGTACTTTTCAACACTACTGTCTCCAAAATAATCTTCAGACTGTGTCAGTGTCAAATTTGCGGATGTTTAACCACGAGTCCCAAAGGCTGTGTTCCTGGCTGTAGAAATGTCCTGTACCTATTAGAACACAGGACTGGAAGCAGGAAATTCAAGCTCCAATTCCAGGGTTTCTTCTTGACTTGCTTAGTGTTCTTTTGCTGAGAAAACTGAAACCACTAAAACCACCAGGTGGTTTTAGCCTCCATGAAACAAGTACAGTGTGACCCAGTGTGCTGTTTTGAAACTCAGTAAGATTCATCAATGCAAAAAATTTCTGAATGATACCTTTAGTAGTAAGGTTGGTAATTGAAAATTTCTCAATAGAGTAACTATTACAAATGTTATAGTTGTCATTTTATCTAGATTGTTCCCCACTAAAGGAACTCAGTTAAATCCTTGAACTATTTCTTCATATGCAGTAAAATATTACTGCTGTGGCAAAGTCATCATCCAACCTGTGGAGGAGGTGATGCCCAGTTTTTGCTGTGCTGTGAAGTGCTTTACCAAAGGTTTTTGTTTCCCCTTCCTCTGACCCTCCTTAGAGTCTTCTGAAGAAATTACAGAGAGAGTTGTGGAAACATCTAGCTTTGGAAATTCAAGCCTAGATGGCAACATCCACAGATACCACGTGGGGTGGCTGGCCCAAGGACTCTTGCCTTTATTACATGTTCATGATGATGTGTTCCCCACCCTCTTCTTCTACACAGCCTCATCCTCTCAAAATTTTATCCCATCCAGTGTATTTTCCCCACACAAATAAGGGGACCTTAACCTCATACTCCTATCTACCTCTTCTGTCCCTGCAAACTGTCACAGTAACATCCCTTCACTAACATTTTTTCTTTTACAAAAACACAGATTAAGCCCGTGTTTGCTTGGTGTCAAAATACATTTGCAGATGCTTGATAAAAGTCTGCAGCCATGATACTGCTCTCTACATATTGCAACTATTTATGTGTAAGATACCTGTGTCTGAGTATTGCAAAACATTTGAATTAGAGATCAGAGGGATTATCAGCCAATGCTCCTGGCAGCAGCTGAGGATGAAGACTCGGGAGCCTTGGCTGAGCACTTGTCACTAAACCTGCACTTCCTTCCTCATCCAGCTTCCTGTTCAGCTCTCAAGAGCATTTCTGATCTGGGCAATGGGTTATTGACTCAAATGTTTGCCTTTTACTCTTGGTTGAATCTCTGAGTGTTTCCAAGCTGTGGTATGCTGGCTGCTCATGACACCCAAGTGTGTTCAAAATGCTACCCAGCTGGGGAAGAGATCAGTGCTCTCTTCCCAGTGGTGGTCCCTGCTGCTGTAGGAACTGTCACTGGGAAAAAATGCATGGGTCTGTGGTTTTTAGTCTCTTATGGGCAGAGTCATCTCTTGTAAAGCCTTGCTTTGGCCGTTTTCCAACTGGGTGAGGTTAGAAAACAGTCTGGCAGCAGCTTCCATGGGTCTTTCATGTCCGACAGACTGGGCCAGGTGGACTGTTTCACTCAGGGGCTCATGTGTTTTGCCAGCCAACTTCTTTTCTATGCTTAATGACTTTTACAGCACATTTTGGGCAGCTCCAGTTAATCTCATCCTTTCATCCTCCTGTGATCTCACTCAGTTTCCTGGAGAATGAAGTGTAAAGGTGCAGTTGGCTTATTCTGTACTCTAAACCCTCTGGCTGCCAGCGCTGGAAAGAGGAACACATGGTAGTGCTCCAGCTTGTGCTTAATTCTTGAGGTGACTGGAAAGGTACCTGTCCTTACAGAGATCAGTCCTCCATTGGAGAAATCCTGATAGCATTGGTATTTCAGTGTAAATTAATCTTAAATTATAAGATCTGGTCTGTATATACAAAAACATTCATTCAGCTACATGCTGAATTTATGCAGGATTTTTTTTTTTTTTTTTAGAAAAATGTGGAAAACTATGCAAATATTCCTAGAGAATAAACGAGCAATTACTATATTTATGTAAAGAGGATATAGAATACACAGATGGCTGGTTTAGTGTCTACTGCTGTATTAACATATGCAGAGAGATGCTTCATGTACATATGTGTAGCAGTAACTGAATATTAAAATCGAACAGTCATGTATCACTCTCTATGTTTTCCCTCATTTTAAAAAATCTGGCCTGCTTTATTTAGACAATGTATTGCTATTCTTTTTGGAACGTCTGTACAATATTTACTGAATTCGTAAGTCAAAATATGAATTCAGTTTTCATAAATTGAAGAACACTTACCATTTCTGTCTCATTTGTTTGCATTTAATAGAAAATTCACAAGTTGAATAATAAATTTTGAAGTGAGAAGCATTTTTTGAAAGAAATACATAAAGATGTCTAGTTCAGAGAGGATATATCAGATGAAAAAGTTCTCAATATGCTAGAATAATTACAAACTCCTTTTAATAAAATTTATTAATGTGATTTTTTCAGATGTTTCTTAAGATGCTCATATGGAGCACTTAAACAGTTAAAGACTATAAACACTCCACCTAGGGACTGGAATCATTATTTGGACCATCTTTAAAAGTTCTGCCATTTATTCAATAGTCTGTAATCGACTTTATGAGCTGTAGGATTTCATTATGCAAATACCTATTTAAGATTTGTATGGACTATAATTAAAAACACAGCTGGAGAAAATATGTTATTTTTGCATGCTCAGTAGACGTGCTCCAAAGTGAAGTATCTCCACTTCTGAAAATTGTTTTAGTTCAAAACTAACTTAAGAAAATTACATTTTTCCTATGAATACCTGTGTTGCCTTACTTTCCCCCTCTTATTTTCTTTCTAAGCCTAACAGTCAAGGACTACCATTGAATCAGGATAGAGAATGAGACATGCATTCACTATTGCATATCATTGTTAAGGCATGTCAGGGCATGTTCTTGTGAGACCTTTTCTTGCCAGCATCTTCAATAGGTTATATACACCTATTTATATAAACATAAAATGGCTAAATTTCATGAGAGATTTTTGAAAGAATAACCTGTCAAGCCTGATGTGTCAGTAAATTATCTCCTTGAATCCTTAGATTGTCACAAGGGTTAACTCTGCAACTGTTAACAAACACTTGCCTTCATTCTGCCTTTTGTCCCCAGTTGCAGATGTTTCATTTGCCTGCAGTGTGATCTAATCAAAGGGGTGCTGTCCCCTTCCACTGTTTTTTATGGAAGTTTAGTGTACAGTCTACATTGACCACAAAAGACCATAAAGGATTTTCCTGCCCTGCATTTGCCATCGATGGAAGAGGCATTTTCTATCACATTTGAGGTGCAAATAAAGTCTACAAGAGTCTCTTCAGGACACTAATATATAAAATCTTCACCCCACAGAGTTATCATTCTAGTGTTAAGTTGCAAATGAAGTGGAAAATCTTCTGTGATAACAAGATGTGATAGTGAAGCAATTGAATTGGGGGCTTTATGCCCTTTCTTTTGTGTCTTAGGAGAAATCATTGCTAGTATGAAATGGAGAATATTTTCTTCTTTTTCACAGCAGTGGTAAGAATTTTATTTTATAGAGATTATGGTTGTTGTATTAAGCTTGTTCATGTTCTCACCTAAGAGCACTAGCAGTAATATTGCAAGTTATGTGTTGTTTTGTACTCTTTAT